AACAGACTCTCAGTGAAAGTAAAGATTGGATGCTCTAAATCACGGCTACATTTAGGAATTGAAGCTAGAACATGATCTGTTCTCCTGAATAGAAGATGTGTGCACAGTGGGAGTAAGTTGCTCACACAAAGCTATTTTTTCCATTGTGTGTGTTGAAGGCCTTACAGGATATGGCTTCATATACCATAAAGTGTAAAATTCCTCTCCTTTTTTTCTTTCATATTGAGGATAGGGCTAACATAAGCTTCAAGACTTGCTTTGATACTCCTCCTTGGCCCCTCAGTACCACCTGGTTTCATTCTGATACACTTCTTTAGGGCTGATATGCCTGTGTTACCTTTTGCTCACTTTTCATTTCTTTTTAAATTTTTACCCTAGTCAGCACATAAGTTGCTACCAGACTTCTGGAAATCAATAAAGACGTGATAGTTCTCAGTATGTCGGGAATTGTGTGCAAGTGTATAAGGTGAGATGTAGATACATCTTCAAGCACACATGATTTACAATTTAAGCTCACTAAAATAAAACAAGGTTGTATTGTTTGCAGAATGTGGTTAGTCCTATTGTTTCAAGTATAGCATTATGGTCTTAATTGCATTCAATTAGGCTTTTTATGTGCAATATAAGTGGGGTCACTGTAATCCCCAGCTCAGCTGGATTCATGTTGACCCTTGTTTACTTGATAAGAGGGAGATCTACTTCACGGAGCATTCAGTTGCCATTTGCCTGCAGTCACAGAGCCAGATATGGTCAATGAGCCAGTAACATGCTCAACTGAGCACACTGCAGGACTCCACACAAAGAACAGTTCTAGGTCACCATACACACTACATGTGAAACCCCATTATCCAAAGCTTTGCTATTCTGTAAGCAGTTGGTGGTTTATGTGGCACAAGCACAAAAGGGAAAGATTGATTGAAAAGACAGGAGGTTAATAACGTAACAGAAACCATTCCATATAGGTATGTGATTGTGTAAAATGTATTTCCTCTCAGGATTTGAATTCAGAGCTGTGTCAATCACTTCACAGTATATTCAGCTGTAAACAGCTCCAGTCTGTGTTTTGTATGATATCTGGGATACACAGTTCAGCCCAGATCAGCCAGGTCTGTTTGGTTTCTGTGTTTACTGGGCTAAAGAAGTATTTGAAAAGCCGCTGGGTAAAAACCAAGGGGTCTAGTAGAAGCAGCACATGTGTTGGCGTTTTGGTTGCCTGTTTTAGCTATTGTCAATTTTACACATTTGAATAAATCCAATAAAATTAATTTCTTACTAGAAAAAGAGCAGATAGGGTTGCTAGAAATGTGTTAATTAGCCAGTTATATTTTTGCATTCATCAAGTTTTGTTTTTAGATTGTAACACTGGGCTATGTTTCAATACGGAAACTGTGATCACACTATTACAAACAGTTATTTTCTGGCCATATTGTTGCATCTGTTCAGGTCTCTTAAATATATTTTTTCAAGCAAAATAAGTCACATTTGTTTTATACAGTAAAAAAAGGATATAATTATGATCATTCAAAAAAAACAGCGTAGGAAATATTAAGACATCAAGTAGTTGTGCAAGTTGCAGTATGGTAGCATACTTTAGGATGTTCTGTTACTAACCCTGGCTGCTCTGGATGTCCTCAATCAGCACTGTTGTGGCTCTGTCTCTTCAGTTACTCTGAATACATTGACAATCAAGGAAACGCAGACACAGGTGGTACTTCATTTAGTGACCTGGATCCAACATTTCGACAACCATTAATTTTACCTGTGAGCTATTATCACCATTAAGTATAGAGTAATAACAGAGGGAGGTTCACCTCTGCAGATATTACCATGTTTTATCAAAGTGAAACTTTGCTTGAAAGTGACTTTCTTGAAACTGCTGTTAGCTGCTTTTATGCCTCATATTATATTTACATATCAGGATCAGAAGGATGAGCAGATACAGATATGGATCTAAAATATGTAGATTATTACTGCAGGACCAGCTTTGTCTTGATGACAATTAAAATATCCACAATTACAATATTATTATTTTAAGCTGTATTTCTCCATACTGAATAATGAAATTCAAAACAAAGGATCTCAGAAAGAGGAACCAGCCAAATTCTCTCTGGTGGAATCTTAATATTTTACTCCTTGAGATTCATTAAAAGAATAATCCAACCCTAACCCTAACCCTAATCTAACGACTAAACGTTTTGAGAACAGAATTTCTTTGGAGTTCTTTCAAACTATATGGCTTCCAGGCCTGTAGCACCAGGGTATTTCCACCATCAACCTGTGATATGAGCACTCTTTCCATCCACAGGCCAGTGATGCAAGTGTTCGTAATGTGCAGTCTGGTTGAAGTAAAGACTAGCTAACACATGAATAATTACAAAGTTACCTCAGAGGGAACACTTGCATATTTGTTTAGCTTGTGTTCATTTCCTGGACTAATAATGCATGTGCTTATTTTGGATCTTTGGCATATTGTATCTGTGGGGTTTTAATTGCTGTTTAGAGCCCTCCTCTGACCTGTGATTGTATTTTCTGAAAACCCTGCATACATTAAAAGCTTTGAAAGTGGTGGAATCTGGGATGATGGAGAGGGCAAGAGAAAGAAAGACAAACAAACAAATGCATCACTGAACTCTAATTTCCCCTCTTTAGCTGATAACTTTATAGATGTCTGGCAACTAGCTGATGGTAGTCCCTCGTAGCCCCAATAAGCACATCTTGCCCTGAAAATGTACCATCAACAACAGTCCATACAATATTCTCCCAAATCCAAAGTGCCTGCTTGGCCATAAAGATGCTGATGTTCTTGTAGCACTTAAGGCAACATTTTAATTTCAGAAAGTGTACAGGCTATTATTTTGAAAAGAGGTAATGCCATGGGTCATGCCAAACTCTGTAGGACTGCTTTAAATGACATCCGTCGTGAGACTTCCCGCCCCCTTGTTTCTCCTACTTACCCACCTGTTAGGTCTCTCTCGTCACTATGGGATAAATGAAGTTGCCCTGCTGAAACCCCCCTCCAAGATCTTCAAAGATGACCCCTAACTGACCAGCACTGTCAACCGCTGATTCCTGCCAGACACATCTAGCCAATATGATCGCTCTTTCACATCAAGTAGCAACAGCAGACATAAAAATGAGTTGCCCTGTTAAGAGGGGAAGTACGGCAAAAAAGGAAAAAAAAAAGTGAAAAAAAAAGAAGATGAGCACTCAGCTGGGTGACTGATCTGTTGAGTGCAGTTGCTAAGATTTCTTTTCAGCCCTCTGCTTCGGTGCTTTATAAATGCAATTATTTTGTGTAGTAATAAAGAAAATGTATCTGTGCTCATAACCTGCTATTAGTGTGCAGTTATGCCCATCAAAACTAGAGTCTGTACTGTGTAGTAGTGTAGTAGATCCAAAATGCAAAATTATGTACTGCCATATGCAAAATCTTATTGTGAATGACCAAAATGTAAAGTTGGACCTCAGATGAAAGGAAGATAGTGTGTGCTAGCTTCACTTTTTAGTTTGCAAAGGTAATGTAAAACAGATGGTTGTGTACACGGTTCCCTGCATTGCTGTATTTAAGCTGTGTACATTTATGCAAAATAACAGATGTTGAATCAGAGACATGAGTGCTTCACTTTGGCCCAGGCCAGCTCTATTAGGATAATTTGACAATAAATTGGTCACTAACTGCAAAAATGCCTCCCAAATCAAACAGCATTATTTGGCAGGAAGTTTGAAAAGCAGCATAGCTGTGGCACTGATAGCAAATACAGCTATGATATAATACAATCACCCAAATTATACATATTAACATGTTCAACTAGTACTGCAGTTGGCTGCATTGTAGAGTATAATGTAAAAGGTTTTTACGTATGACGACTGGAAAAACTAAGTGGAGGAAATCCTTATTCTCATTTGAGATTTCTATTATTCTAATTTCCCTTGACCATATCTCGTGTCATTTTATTGATTCCTCAGGTATTCTTTGAACTGACATTGTATGGTCTTCATCTCATTTTAAAATGATATTGTGTTATCTCAGTACAAGCGTAGTGTCCACATATTCTGTCATAATTTAAGTTAAAACTCTTTTTGATCAGGTAGACATGTTCCAGTAATATGAGTGTACTGCGACTTCAGACATCAAAATACCATTTGAGCTTAAAAAAAAACTCAAACCCAACAAAAAACAAAAGACAGCTATCTCACAGAAAAGCCTGGAGGAGCCTCAGAAATTTACCCTCTATGCATCTGTTTTTTTATTTTTTATTTTTTTTATATATTAGGTCTTGTTTTCTGCATTTCAATCCACACTGTCTCATACCATCAGCTTGCGGCTGTGTGTTTGATTCCACTCTGCATTTTCTGCTCTGTTAGCGATCAAACATACAGCACAGAATGTGTAACCTTGCACAAAAGACGAGACTTGAGGCACAGGAATATTGAAAAGGGATTTATTTTTACTGGTAGTTCCTTAAATGAGGACTGGCTCAGCAAAGGAGAATAGCTATGTCAATCACAGGGAAAGCCCAGATATTTTAAAAATAGTGTTACCTGTAAGATCATGTTTTTGTACTCGGCTTTGTATAACATAATGATTCACTGCATTTGGTTTAGGTAGTTGTCAGTGTTTATTAACGGCATGTTTAATCCAGTGTAGGATACAGTTAAAGTTTACTTTTGCCATTACTCAAATAAATGAGGATTGTTCCAGTGATTAGACAGTGAGCACAGCACTATTCCATTGGTTTTCTCTTAGCAACTGCACTCTGGAGTGAAAGCCCCCAGTCTGACTCGTGACCAAAAGCAACCAACCAAGCGATACCATATAGGGGACGGCCGCACCTGTCACTGGTGTTTAATCCACTTTCTTCCTTGTTTTTCCTCCTCATTCTAATTTCTCTCCACTCTCATCATTCTCTATTTCTGTCTATCCCTGCTTTATATCTCTGTCTCTGTCTGTATCTCTCTGTCTTCTTTCATCTGTCTCTCTTGGGCCATGCCTATGCCAGGTGACCATCTCAGTGGATGGTATATTGACCACCACTGGTTACACCCAGGAGGATTACACCATGCTGGGCTCTGATGACTTCTTCTACATTGGAGGGAGCCCCAACACCGCCGACCTGCCCGGATCACCAGTCAGCAACAACTTCATGGGCTGCCTGAAAGATGTGAGTGGCTCTGTCTACTTTGTGAATATGTGCTGTATGTAGCTCATCATCTCCCTGCCTCAGGTCAATGGGTAGTAGTTACTTTCTGCAGAAACAACCATATTAATGGAAAATATCCCTCTCAGTCACACATGCAAGGTGATCTGATGATCTGTTTAGAGTTGTTCCGATTCCGATACCAGTTTTGGAAATTGCTCCGATACTGCCTAAAATGCTGGCATCGGTATAAAATTTTTGCTTTGGGCATCTGTATCGGCCGAGCTGGAGTCCAGGCACCATTCCAATAACACAAGCGTAAATCTTAATAAATTCAGTAAAGTCTAAATTTTAGCTAGGCAGTGGTTAGCTCGTGTAATTAGGGCTCTGGTACGCAGGGTTAGCTGCGCTTAAAAACAGTAGAGGCGCTGTGCCTGCAACCTGCAGCCTGCTGAGTTTTAGAGGGACACGCAGGAGGAATTGTCACGTGACACAGACACAACAGCACACACCACACTGTGTCCAGAGCCGATCTGACCGGCCGAGGGCTTGAGCTAGCTAAGTAGCACTAATATCATGTCGGCGGTGTGGCAGATGATATTCAGCCTGGCAATCTCCCATCCCACGTTAAAACTGCGAGCATGTAACGTGTGCAAAAGATAAAATCTCCAAGGGGTGGGCACCGCCTAGTTTGCTATTTTTAACACAAGCAATTTAATGCCAAAAGCAACCTGAAAGACGCCGTAACACTCCTAAGACGACGACGAATTTTCTAAATCAAAAAGGGAAAAAAGAAGGACGAGCCGCAAGCCAGCAACTCCTGGGAAAGCTTGTTTTTAATAAGTCTTTTATACTGTTTTATTTAAAAATAAATGTCTTGATTTGCATCGTATTTTATTCATTGTTTTTACAAGGGTTTAAACCCCTGAAGCCAGGCGCTTACTACAATGAAAATGCATATCAACAGTCATAGCAGGCATATATCGATATTTTTTTATAAATCTGGTATGCAGAACATACTGGTATCGGATCGGTACTCGGTATCGGCCGATACCCACAGCACAAGTATCGGAATCGGTATCGGGAGGGAAAAAATGGTATCGGAACATCTCTAGATCTGCTTACATCAGTTGTAGGATGCTTTGACACTATTGGTCAGATTCCCCTGTTCCAAACCAAATACCAAAAAAAATCATACAAACATCACAAACAATTGCGGTAGCCTCATCCTCACACATACTCACACACACGTTTCTGTTGACTCTGACACAGTCACTTGAAATAATCATCAGCCTGTGCAGATATAACTCCCATATTTGAGAGTAGGAGGTGTCAGACATATAGTATCCTGAATCTGTTTCAAGTGTTTATTTTCTCCTTCTTTCCCCAACCACACTGCAGACCAAACACATCCATAGGCACTGCACACACCACAGTGGGATGATAGATAATCACAAACAGCCAAATTCAGATTTATACTCCGCCGTGCAAGCATACACACACAAACAATACTCAACCACACACAGTCATGGATGGATATGTAGAGGACAGTTGCCTTATAAAAACTTTATTTCTTCAACTTTGACAAAAAATTACTTTTATTTTCACCAGGGCTTTAATTCACGGCTTTACAAGCTGTCAAGAGGACCAATCACAGCTTAAAGTATTATGCCCTTGTAAATGTAATGACTTGTATAGAGGCGACGCAACATGGTGCCATCGCATTTCCTCATAAAACCACACTGATTGAATAAGTAATTACTTTTGCCATCACTTTTAATGGATCGCACAGTAATCGCCCTATCTCTAACTTAATTATGCCTGCAGAATTACATTTTCATTATTTGGGCTGCTATCGGAAGGATCCCTAGTGGGTCTTAAACTTCCCAAGGCGTTTAACTATCCACTCTCTCATCAAGATGACGCTGGATTTACAGTCAACGTACAGACGGAGCACAGGGGAGAGGAGGGGGTGTCAACGGTAGAAAAACAGACAATGGTGAGAGCTAACAGTAACAGATAGAGGTGAAAGTGAAGAAGCAATGTGAGCAAAGTGCTGGAAATGTGACGTCAGAGCAGATGGTAGGAGAGCAGAGAATTGATCTCCCAATATGCAGCTAAGTGAGAGTAGATGCTGCACAGACAAAATGAGGAACTAAAAGTGCAAGTTTAATACAGCTAGTGTTGAAAAGAGAAAATGTTAAGAATAATGGAGCAGCATTTGTCAGCTACAGATTTTAATGGATTGCACAGTGCTGACAAAAGTGAGAAAAGGAAAGTGAATGAAAAAGTGAAGGTTTTCGAGGTAAAGGTGAGATATGGTTGAGAGTGAAGGGAATAAGCTCCAGACACATTCAGGAGAGAAGTGGTGTTACTCTAAACATCCGACATTGGCATTCATGTTTGACCTTCTGCCAAGGGCTGCATTTTTCATTTAGCAGCTGTGGTTTGGGTCAGCACTGCAAAACATATCTCAAAACGTTGTGTAGTCAAGTATAGAATCTTAAACTCTTGTTTTTCTCAAATCAAGAGAAATGCTTTGCTGACAGCATGAGGCAGTTTTTCCTGATTTCTATGGACCCGCTGTAGATAGAGAATTTTAAGATTTCCATATTGTACTGTTGACTCTAGGTTTAGTAAGAAGTGGTAATCGGTATGTGCTGCCAAGGTCTATATACAGAATGGCTCTGAGATTAGCACAAAAAAAAATAGGTCCTGAACTCTCCTTTCATGTTTGCATAGGTACTGTAGCTTTTGGATGCTCATGTTTCCTCACTCAAAAATATAAATGTTTCCTGGGTCCAACAAGGGAGCTGATGATGAAATTTCCAATGTGGATCCACAAAAGTAAAGCGAGTGTGTTTGTTCGTGTAAGACTCAATACTAGACCCTTTATTTTGTTACTTCTTGAAGGTGTGTTTACAGGTCAGAAAGATATAGTGTTTGATCCAGAGCTTCAGCTTACTGGTTGTTTTTATTGCTGTTCAAGTCCTTATGGGCTCAACTTCAGCTCCTGTCAAGGTCTAATGACCACATCAGCTGAACTGAGCCAGAAAGGTAACCACGCAGAAATGCACTGAGAAAACCCGCAATGAGAGTAACTGTGAGCGCCAGGTAAAGTAGTAGTAGCTGGAAATAAAGAGGAAAGTAAGGGGTTGGTGGGGTAGACAGCGGCGTGTTTCATCCTGTGCTAGTTCAGTGGCACAGCTCGGATTATCAGTGGTGTTATGGTCTGGGGCAAGGCTTTCATGCCGCCACCATGGTCAAACGCCTTTGATACGCTTGGCCAGTACCCTCCAGGCAACAGAAATCCAAAGGAAGAAGAGCACAGCAGAAAAGAGTAAAAAGGCACCAAAAGAGGCACTGAAGCCCTATGAAGTTTTTATTTGCGGTGTCAACATCTCTAAAATACTTCAGCCACCACTAGACGTACATAAGAGACAGACTAACATAAACGTAACAGTAGTTTGTCCGACTTGGACACCACACAACACAACACACACACACAACCACAACAAACTCCTTACACACGCTCGTTAGTGATGTCTACGTGGTCTGCTCGTGTTCAACCAGATGGCTTGCTTGTCCCGTTGTTCTTGCGGTGTCCAAATGATGGCAGATAAGGTAGGTGGCACCCTGTGCTAAAGGCGAGGCCACAGCCAACGGTAACACCCAGCCCGCCCCCTCGCCTTACTCAGATCTACAGTCAATGGCATGGTAGTAGAATGATAAGCTCATATCGTATTGTATATATGGAACCCTCAACATTCTGGCATGGTGGTGATGGTGTGACATGATCCATTCCCGTGTCATTGCGCTGAAATTCCTCCATTCGAACACGAACGAGCAGAACATCACTTGATTGTTTCGTACGCCTAAATTTGGACTCATTAGTGGAATATAGCCCTCCAGACTTAACAGGATCAGTTTATATGTGTTTTACTCTGCAAGGCAATACCACCACACACAGCGCTTTCATCACCCGCTCCATTTTCAAAGATTTTTTACTGGAAAAACTTGCTTGCTTGCATTTGCTTCGTTTTAAAACAAACAGGAAAGAAATTTCCCTGGTGCAATCATGTAGAGCTTCAGCAGCTTCATCAAGCGCGCTAACGTGACGAATGCCCTTTGTCGTGTGCTTCGTCAGGAATTGTTAGGTTAACAGTGCGCAGAACCATTACCTGCTTTTTGTGCTTTAGTAACATGAGAAGACACTTGATTGTAATTAGCATCCTAAATTGGTTACGACTTCGTGCAAGTTGTAGATTTTGAGGTGTGTGGTGGTACTTCACCGAGTAACAGTCTGAGACCCAATCTTTGTGAGCGACACGATCCCATAACGCCAGCTGCTCTGTTGCCTTGTAGATCCGAAATCCCCAGTAGCAGTTAGGGGCTACAATGATTGTGGTCATAGTGCGTTGTTTTTTCTTTTGTGGCATGGTTGTTTGTGTGGTCACTCTTCTGTTTGTTTTGTAATGTGGCCTGTGTTTCGTTGTTCAGTTATGTTTCTCTTGAAGCAGCAAGTTGCGTGTGCGACAGAATTATTTTTTCATTCTACCTCATCTTCTCCCAGATAACTTTGGCAAATACTTCACGAGGGGAAGTGCTTTTATGTTAACGTGATCTCTGGTCTCGGCCTGTGGAGCTGTCGGGCTTTTTTCTCCTAGTTCTTTGCGCTAAACACTTTTTCAATAACAAGTTTGATATACCTGACCACTTTCACAAATCCTGATGTACTAACTAGAGTCCATCCTCTAGAGATTAGTCCCACTGCAGTTACTATCTAGTCGCTCAGACCCGACGAGACGACTCTCAGCAATCATGGTCCTGTTCTTTCCTCTCCCTGACTAACTGACACGGCATGAGCTTCCTGGTATCCGGGGCCCCCGTTCTTAGTTTACATCGATTCAACACAAACACTGGCTCTCTCGGCACGCTCCTCCCATGGCTGGATCGACTCAGCTGCCTGAGGTGGTGCAGAGTACAAAACAGCTGATCGAAAACCGTGACTATCTATAAACACC